GTGTGTGTGTTTGTGTTGGACTAGCTAGTGGCGTCGAGGAATCGATGTGTGGCTGGTGGCAGCCAAATGGAGAACGATGATAGTGGTGGTGGTGATGGTACTGATGGTGGGGAGATAGGAAAGAGGAGATATATGCACAGAAAAGAAGAAAGAGGATACACGGGCTCGCTGTCATCAGCATGGGAGAACAAGAAAAGGCGAAAAGAAGAAGACAGCATGCAAATAAATAAATACAAATGGTCACTGGTCATCAGCCATGTTCATCATCAACATTGCTTTCAGTAGAAGTAGTAATAGTAAGTATCACTGCAGGCCCACTCCCTCCTCCTGCTCCTCTACCACCTGGTGAAGGACTGCCGCGGAGAGTCCAGTCAGCCAGACCGACTGCTGGTGACTGTGGCCCTCTGCGGCCGGACACTGCTGTCAGCTGTACACGTTCTCATTGGAGGGCAGTGAAAAGTGTCGATATGTGACGTACTCCTCGGTGAGGCCGTCGCAGCCGACGACGCCGCCGAGGCCTCCGCCGCCGCCCACCGCCGACATCTCCGCCGGCAGCAGGTCGTCCTCGATGCTGGTCGGCTTGAGGCTGCTGAAGCTGACCACCGTCGCCGAGCGCTGTCGCTGGCTGCGCCGCTTCTTGCGAAAGCGAAACAGTATAAAGGCCAGCACACAGACGCAGAGGATGAGCACGAAGAAGAGGCCAATGGCGATGATGATGCTGGCCGCGGGGATGGCAATCAGCTTACGACTCTCCACCGAGGACAGTGTTCGCACCTGTCAGTGTCGGGAAAAAGGAGAAGGAGAAAAAAGAAAAGAGAACAGGACTCATTAGTGGGGTGAGAATGAAGTGAAAGCGAGAAAGAGATGTAGGTATGCAGAGTTAGTGGAGCAGTGACAGTCAATTTGGAGTATTCCCCCTACGTTCCCGCTACTTCAGCGCCCAGCAGGAGCAAGAAATCGATGCATCTCAATTGGCAGGCAGACAGGCAAAAACTATTCACCTATCACCCATTTGTGGTAGCACCTCAATTAGCATTGCAGTCTGATCGAGGCTGTCCCGGCGACGACGACGATGTTCTCCGTTGCCGCAGCAGTTTTTGCCGCCATTGTGTTCTCAGTTTGCCCTTCTGCCAGCAAACAAAGGCGCCTTTGTCTGCTGCCACAGCTCCTGCTGCCTATCGCACCCATTAGACCTTTTTATTTCGACCTAACCACTACTGAATGACATTTGCATAAGAATGGAAAAAAACTATTGATTGTAAGCGAAGTGCCGTGTTTTGCGGTGGAAGTTAAAATGAGAGAGGCGCTTGATTGATAAGCATAACCGTCGGTTAAAATTTAATTAAACTGTATGTAAAATAAAGTGATCACTGCTTTTAAAAGAAAAAATAGACTGCCTGTCTTGCTGTCATTCCTAACAAAATGGCAAGCGGAATAGATGCTGTCAATGAACCTGAAAAGAATGTCTCCTTAAAAGTGCACTTACCTGCGAGCACTTTCGATTGCTCGTCACAAAATCCTGCAGCAGGTGCTTTTGCGGGTGGTGGTCGATGCTCATGAAGGCCGTGGAGGGCTTACTGTAGGAGGAGGAGGCCTCCAGTGAGGAGGCGGACGGGGATGATGAGGCACGCAGGTACTTTCCGTTGGCTTCCACACAGACGGTGTACCACTTCTCGGCGACCAGGTCGCGCAGCTCTGCAGTCCTCGCCGCAGGATTGAGCTGCAGTCCGGCGGGCGAGGTGAGCGACCGCTCTGAGGTGAGGTAGTACTCCAGTGTGAAGCCGCCCACCAGTGTCTCATTTTGCACTTGCCAGCCGAGGCGCACCGAGCTGGGCTCCACTTTGATCACGTCAAATGANGCCGCCCACCAGTGTCTCATTTTGCACCTGCCAGCCGAGGCGCACCGAGCTGGGCTCCACTTTGATCACGTCGAATGAGGTGATCATCGGTATGGGACAGAAGTCAATCGGTTGCAAACTCTGAATTGACTGGTGCTTCAGCTTCTCCGGTTGATCACAGACCATCTCCTCCTCTTCGGAGAGCTTCACCACTCGAGAGTGCTCCTCCAGCCACTCGTAGATGGACAGCAGGCGGCAGTCGCAGTGCAGTGGATTGCCTGTACGAAATAGTAATCATTAACCAAAAATCAGTTAAGTGCTTTCAGTAGATTAGCACCCATCACTTTTCACTTACCTGCCAGTTGAATGCTCTGCAGTCGGACCTCAATCGATTCAAAAATGGCCTCACCAATTTGCGTCAAAAAGTTCTGCCTGAGATCAAGTCTGGCGAGTGAGCTCATATTTTGGAAGGCATTGTTGGCAATCCAACTGATGATGTTGTGGCGAAGTGAAATCTCCGAGACGCTGCCTGAGAGGTGGCCAAATGACTCGATGCGTGCTATCTTATTGAAGGATATGTCAATGGTGCGCAGATTGCCTAGATCAGGCGCAAAGTGTGGCAGCTCAGTGAGCGAATTGCTGGAGAGGTTAAGTACCTCAAGGCGACGCAGGCCACCCAATCTTTCTTCGGGTAGGTTGTCCAGTTTGTTTCGCGACAGGTCAAGCTCCACTAACCTGTCCAGTGGCCTGAAAGCAGACGGCGAGATCGTCTGAATTTGGTTATCCTCCAGGTACAAGCGCACAAGTGAGGAGAAACCGACAAAGTCATGCGACGCGACAATGGTAATGTTGCCGTGCTGGGCGTGCAGCGTCTGCAGACTGGCAAAGTTGCCCTCGGCGCTGAGGTCCTCCCGCAGGCGAATCATCGGATTGTGGTCCAGGTCGAGCGTCTGCAGAGAGCTGGCAAAGGCCACCGAGGTGGTGGTCACCTTCAGCAGATTGTTTGGCACAAACTGCAACCAATTGCTGGCCAGTGAGATGTGCTGCACCCGTTCCAGCTCGATGAAGACATCGGCCGCCAGAGAGCGAAGCACATTGCCCGTCAGGTCGAGACTGGTCAGCTGGAGCAGTCCGGAGAAGGCGTGCGACTCAATGACGCTGATTCGATTGAAGGAGAGATCCAGCCGGTGGAGAGCGGTCAGATTGGCCAGTCCTCTGGCGCGTATCTGCTTGATCTGATTGTGCGCCAGTGAGAGTGTCTGCAGGTTGGGGGCAAACCTGGCAATCAGCGAGTGGTTGGGCAGAGCGTCGAATCGATTGTGACTTAGTGAGATCATCTCTAGGGCGGTCATTCGCTCGGGAAAAGAGGTCGCCTCCACCGTGGGGAGCTCATTCGCATCTAGATAGAGCTGTCGCAACTGCCTCAGCGGCGCAAAAAAGGACGCCGTGTTGACCAGGCGAAAGTGGGTACTGGAGAGATCGAGCACTTGCAGAGAGGTGTTCACCTGTTGGATGAACTCTGCCCCCAGCTCGATGCCCTTCTCATTGGAGAGGTTGTTGTGAGAGATGTTCAGCTCACGGAGGGAGGCAGGCAGGCGGATGCTGTTCATCCGTCGGGCGTTGATGCTGTTCCCGCTAATGTCCAGCAACTGCAGGCTGCTCAGACGCTCAAATGAGTCCGCCTCCACCTCGTCAGCCATAACATTGGCGAGGTGAAGTTGCTCCAGGCGGTGGGCGCCCTCAAACATGTTCCGTCGAATGGTGTAGATCTGATTGTTGGAAAGGTGGACTGTGAGCAGGGAGCTGAGATTGGCCATTACATTTGGCTCAATGCCGATTATCTCCGAGCTTCCCAGGCGCAGTTCAGTGAGCATCTCCAGGCCTCTGAAGATGTCACTGTTCAGGTGGTTCAGTTGGTTGTGCTCCAGATTGAGGTACACTAGATTGCGCAGTGAGGCAAAGGCGTTCTCCTCAATGGCGGTGATCTCATTGTTATCCAGGTGCAGCTTCTCCAGGTTTATTTGGTCAGTGAAGATGTTCACGCTGATGCGCTTTAGGCGGTTGTGATTCAGCCAGATCACCTCGAGGTCAGTTTGTCCGCGAAAGGTGTCATTCTGCAGCGTCTCCAGGCGATTGTGACTCAGCTGAAGATATCGAAGACTGGAGGGAAAGCTGCTGAGAACGTTTCCGCTGAAAGTGGCCAGTCGGTTGCCCTGCAGATTAATGTGCTGCAGGCTGGCCAAACTTTCCAAACTCTCAATCGACTCGATCTCGTTCATCTGCAGGTCAATCTCCTGTAAATTGGGCAACGAGTAGAAGACGCCCTTGCGAATGTGTTTCAGCAGATTGCGCTGCAACCGAAGTTCACGCAACTCGACCTAAAAATAGAAAAGAGAAAAAATGATTGCCAATCAATGTGTGAGCGTGAAGAAAACAGAGTGAGAGATCCAAGAGCAAACTTTAAAATTTGACAAAATCAACAAACAGAAATAGGAGACAAAAAGAAAGAAAGAAAAGCGTGGGCCAGTGGCAGTTCAGGGGAAATTTAATTTCGTTCAGCAAATTAAGCTGTGGGGTCTACTGCTACTGCGACACTCTCTGAGAAGGGAAGTGCAATGGCAGTGGGGCACACAAACACACACAAACCCGCTACCAGAGATCATACCGACCAGACACACGCACACATGTCGCCACTACTCAGTCTTTGCCGTCTTTCTCCAAGTTCGCTTCAGAAACTAGCAAAGAAATTAAAAAGTGAAAAACACACTGCTGTTGCTGATGCTGCTGCTGCTAAAAAGACACAGAAGGACGGCGAATTAGCCTGCAACGGCAATTGGCACGACACAGTGGCTGAATGAGACGACAACGGCGGCAAACGGGGGCAAAGTGCAAGTCTCACTGCAACTTTCTCTCCGCCGCCACCACCACTCGAGCAGCTGCAGCACCCCAAGAACCCGAGTTCGAGTAGATCTCATCATCATCATCATCATTCCCACTGACTCACTTCCTCTCCACGCGTTCATTTCCTCCGTCGTTTCTTTCGTCGCCGTCGTCGACGTCGTTGGCCTTTTCTTCACTTTTCTATTCTCTCACTGCTCCTATGCTCCCAAACTGATTCTGAACTCTACTGACTCGACACAAACAGCTTCAGCTCTGGCAACACTGCAGCAAATCTACAGTCAAAGTCAGCGACAGTCTGATTGTTTTCATTGGAACAGGCCTTTTGAAAGAGTAGTAGAAAAAAGAGAGGAAGGGGAATGTAAACTAAGGGCGGACTTGGTGCGTGTCACTTAACTGCTACTGCTGTTTCTGCAACTGTCACAAACAATCTCTCTCCTTGACTGGCGTATTCAGCAATCGGTAAACAGCATAATGCACCTGCACTCTGCTGACAGAAGCTCATTCAATTTTTTCTTTTTCTTCCGTTTTCCTCTTTTTTCCTTTCATTTCTTCTTTCTCCATCATCTTCTTTCAATCTAAAAGTTGCTTGACGCCAAGTTTTGGAGCAGTTTCACAACAACTGCCAAAAGAAAGAAAGAAGGAGAGAGCATTGATTGGCGATGATTGCCGATGTACCGCACACAGTGGTACTTAGTGACTCTCCTCTTGATCGCTGCTGCTGCTGCTAAAGTGTAGCACTGCCGTCTTAGAGTGATCGAGTATGTGTGTCTGTCTGTGTGACTGTGTTCGTTGTACGGTGGCTACAAGACTGGGAGAATATTAATTTATCGCAGTGAACAAGAGAAAGAAAGAGAAAGAAACAAAGGGAGAATGTGACTGGCGTATGCTTGACGCGAGTTGCACTGTGTGGGCACTAATTGATGAATGCTAACGTGATGCAGACAAAAGTTTCAACTGGCACAACTTAATTCGATTAGTGCAACAGCACTACTACCACCACTACCACTGCTGCTGCTGTACTACAAGACTACTAAGAGGGAGGATGTGAAGAGTGAAAGAGAGAGAGAGAGAAAAAAAGGGGAAAATATATACAATTCCTGGTGAAATACAATGGGAAATATGGTGATTAATTATTGTGACTGGCGGCCAATCGGCGAGAATGCTCACAATTAGCGAGATTGCTGGTGGCGAGGAGGAAAAGAAAGAGCGACAACATCAGACGACAGAGATTGCACCCGGGAAGAGAAGAGAAGGGAAAAAGAGATCCTCTGGACGCTGCTGGACTACTAGCAGCAGCACTACTGCACAACAGCATCACACCAATTAATCGATTGCACAGTAAACACACTACAATAGGAAGGCAATGGCGGTGTTTTGAAAATGCAAACTTCTCCATTTGCCTGGCGACTTGTCAGACGGCGGCCGCCGCCGCTGCGACCACGACGACAAAGACTACGACGGCGATGGCTACGACAGCGACGGCTCTATTGCCGAGACTTGCATTCTAATTGGGTAGATGGGGAAGCTGCGCATAGATGGACAGAGAGAGATAGGGCTGCTGCTGTTGTTGTTGTCCGAGACACTGTAGACACAGTGCTGGACAGTGGTGGTGGACATCAACATCGATCGTCGGCCATTGCCATCGCGGCTAGACACATCGGTGACCGAGCCGACTGATCGGCGGTGCACACACACATACACACATACACATAACAAATGGTTCGCCCTCCTCGGGTAGACAATGGAATGCTCAGAGCTGCTTCACTGCTGACCCTCACGCTCGGCTGCCGGCAGTTGAGCAGGCGAAGGAGGAAAAGGAAAGAAAGAAGAAGGAGGAAGAAGAAGAAGAAAAGGTCCGTTGGCAAGACAGTTGCCTGATTGGAATTTAATTTTTATTTGCCTCAACTCAGTTGCTCGCCGTGAGCACAAGAGTCGATCATTGATCACTGGGTACTTTGCATTGAAGCTTTCAGCGTTGAGGCTCGCTCGCCGATGTATCTATTAGTTGAAGAAGAAAAAGAAGGAAGGAGAAATGGAGAAGGGAAATAAGACAGCATTGCGACAAGCAGCAAAAGCAGAAACCGAGAGAGTGGACAGTGGCCATCTGTATATCGGCTGCTGCTGTGAGTGTGTATTGATTGTAGAAAAAGATAGCTGCTGCTCCAACAGCACCAGTGCTCACTACCCCCAATGTGCAAGCAGAAGAGAAAAGGATAGAGCGCGCGTGCCATCGCCATCGCAACATAAATCAGCCATGCTGCATTCAAATGACTGATGATTGCTCAGGCCTATTAGTCCGAATGAGAGCTGCTGCTGATGCTGCTGCTCGCGGCTCTGCTTCGTTGTCAGTTGCTGCAGAGCTCCAAGCTCGTCGCCAAAGCTTCTGGCGCCCTTTCTCACCACTTTCAACAAGCACTTTCACTGCTTCTTCTTTTTCTTCTTTTTCTTTCTCTTTTTCGTTTGCTTCTTTGATTCTCCGTCTCTTCCTCTCCTCTTTTCTTTTCTTTTCTTTTCCTCTCGCTTAGCTGTAGACTAATTTGATTTATTCGCCATTATTGAGAATTTACATTCACCAAATGGGTAGAGCAGGGCAGCAGCAACAGCAGCACTACAATGGGGGCTCACATACAATCGAATGAATTATTGATGCCATTTGATCTTATCTAATTGAAAGAACGAGTCAATTGAAAANTAGCAGGGCAGCGGCAGCAGCAGCACTACAATGGGGGCTCACATACAATCGAATGAATTATTGATG